CACTGAACGACATACAGACTCAACGTATTGTAATAAAAAATGTGCCAAATAAAAATAAAAGTTACAGCTCTCTTGAGTTCACGCTATGAACTCATCACATTATCAAACTACTAAAACGTGCACTGTAAATCAACCAGATCTCTGAGGAGTTCGAAGTTAACCCTTATCTCTGTCACCAATTTTACATTTCGTCTTCCTCTGCAGAAACACACATGATAACAGCTAACTTGAAACTATCGAAGACAACTTCTGTGATTTAAACGAAAAGTTAACTAAGTCTACTGAGAGCTGAAACGGGGAGCAGGACTTGGGTACTACTCCTCGTTGACCAGCGGTTCCATGGGAACCTTGGACTTGACCTCGCTTGTGGCCTCGTCATAGGATGGAGGCTTCACCTTCAGGGCGCCAATGGGTGTAGCTCGGCGCTTCTTGCAGCAGTAAACCATACCAGAAATCAACAAAGACAAGCCTAAGATGGCGCTGATGACAACAGCGGCCTTAACGGCTCCAGGTTGGCGTTTAAACCAGGCATAAGCCCCTGCAAAAGAAAACAACGGTATTACTTACGACAACTGTTCTCTCTCTTTTATAATCTCTTACCTACGATGATTGCGTTCTGATAGCAGACCGCTCCACTAGAGGCGCGGTTACCTAATGCTTAGCGCGCTCTTCTCTCGATCGAAAGGTTTGAGTCACTCTGCTTTGTTAACAGGAAATATACTTTTCGTCACCAACTCTTCATCTTGGAGCTCTCCCCTTTTAACTGCGCCCAAACGCCCACCCCTCTCTCCCCCACAAATTTTCTTTTCTCGTCCCCAGACTCCAAAGAGAAACAGGCAGTGCTAACGATGGGAGTTGAGTACTTACTGCTGCATCGTCCCTTATGATGACCTTTGTGCCCATCATGGTTTCCCTCGTCATCATAATCTCCCCCCATTGGCAGTTTTCCTTGTAACACTGGCTCGTCCAACTCTATACCATCCACAGACAAGTCCAGCTGAAGAGCAAATAGTCAAACAAGATAAAACGGATTGTATCACCTTCATCCCTGGATATTCAGAATAAAAAATTGAATGCTGGACAAGACGAGACGAGATTAACAACAATATTTTTCCATTGATTGGCGCGAGAAAAGGTGTAAAGAGAAAAACGGAGCTTGGATGCAAAATCGCTTCTAAGCATAAAAAAATGTTTCTATTCGTTTCCTTTCACACGATCCTTAAAATATTTTTTTTGTTGGAACAACCTCTCAAAGATAATCGATACAATACTCTGTCAGCATATTTACCTTGAAAGCAATTCCTTTCGCAGTTTTTTCCATTGTCAAAGACACAAACATGCCCTTCACTGGAGAACCTTCCACCTCATACTTGTCCCCACTCTGGAAGGTGTGTGACCAGTCGAACTTAGGCGACAGAACGTATACTTTGATCTCTGCGCTCAGGGGTTCTTTGGAACTGTCAATCATTAGGACAACCTTCACAGTTTTACCCAAAATTTCACGGTGGCAGGAGAAGGTGTCGCACTTCCCAGATACGGTGCATTGGAAAGGCAATTTGTTGGATGTGATCGGTTCAGGGCATTTAGGATGCTCTTCACCCTTTCCCTTTCTGTGACGATCTTTATCACCACGGCTATGGTGTCCACCTTTAGCTGAGATGAATTAAAATTATTCTTGTTAGATTTGGGATGGCAGGTTGTTCTAAAGCCTGAGCTAAACGCCTTAAATTGTTCGAGACATCATAATCACAACAAATTGTGGCTAAATCCTAATGTTTCTTACAACTTTCTAAACAACAAGCACACACAGAAACCCACAAGAGATCTGCACTAACCCTTCAGCGAGGGTAGCACAGTTAACGCGTGACGCGTGAATTTTGTAGAAAGGTGAGGTAAAGTGAAGCGAAGCTTTCTCTCCTTGATTCGCCGGTGACGCGTGAAATAATAGTCAAAGTACACGTGACGCGTGAGTTTTACAGACAGCAGGGTAAGGCGAGATTTTAAGTTTTCCCTCTAAATTCGTGACGCGTGAAATACTGTCTAAAGAACACGTGACGCGTGAATTTTTCTTAATTTCGTGCGTGGAATGGTATCAGGACCCCCCCTCCTTGCCACCCTCTTCGTAATTGTTTGTTACTTGAACTCTTCTCAAAACAGAAGGATTTAACGAAAGGAAAAATCAGCTTAAGGGCTGTTTCAGTCAGCTTCCTAAGAAAAGTACGCAAATTGTTCTGATGAAAGTTATCTCAGGCCGGAATATCTAACTTCTAGCTCTAGTAACGGACAGCTGGTTTGACAGATGGTTCCTGTACTAAAATCTGCGGTTGAATTTCGATAAATATCTTTCTTCGAGTGCTGGGTTTTATGAACGAATTTGAGTTTTTTTTTCCTCTACCTCTGCTCGCTAGGCGAACTTGATAGTTTTTCTTCGGTAGTCGAACTCTTGCCTCTGCCGACAAACATTCAAAGAATTTCTCGAATTATGGCGACTTCGCGGATAATTACATTGAGGGAAACCTGCAATTTCTTTCAAAACATGGCAGAGTAATACAAAGGTGGTTTTGATTCTGCCCATACAAGGAAAGTCACAAATTCTTCTAAGTAACCTGATTGCAAGAAATATATTGTGTCGCCTGTTCCTAAACGAAATGGCACGAAGCTTGATCCGTGACCAGCGCTGTTCGGGTGCGAAAACAGGACTCGCGCGAAGAAAAACCTAAAATAAGCTGGGGCCAGTAGCAACCGGTAATGTTACATTATTCTTGCATTATTAACGCTCTCTAATATGACAAATTCACTAATACGACAGTTTCCTAAGAAAGGAGGAAGGTTTCTAAATTAAGTAACAATCGAGTCGGCAGCTTGTTTTGGCTAAGCTAATGTTTCTTACACAGCTGAAAGTCGGACGACATAAATTACTTGAGCTAAAATGAAAAAAGGAAGGAGGCACATAAAAATTAACTTCTTTCAATTTTCGAGCCGGAAAACCTTTATCAATGTGGAGAGATTCATTAGCGGGAATCCATTCGTTACCGCTACTGTTATGTAGTTGTAGCTTGTGGACGAAGTAGGGTCCAAGTAAATGTGATGTAAGGAAATAGGGGTGGGTAGGTGAGGCTGTTTTTTAGTTGAAGACATTTTCTTCGCTCTTTACAGAGCAAAACTGCATCCTATTTGAGGCTAGGAGCCGACGAAAATCGAAATACAGCGATGAGTTTTTCAACTGTCATTACTGAGGTTCCGAGCAGGTCAAGCGGAACCAAGTTGGAGTGGAAACCGAATGACGCAGCAACTTTCGAATCAATTTTTTCATCGGGAAACCAAAATAACATCGTAGATCTAGAAAAACGCTCATATAGAGGAATAGATTTTGAAGAAATAAATAACAACCCACGGTGCAAGCACATAGGACAATAATTTTCGATGAAGTAAGAAATTTTATGCATGCAAAGTCTGCAGCATTAACATTACGTCACAGGACAAAAACAGCTGCCATATACCGTGTTTTGCAGCTTAAAAACGACATGCACGAATTTCTACAAAGTAGTTCGATTGAAAGTTAAAGGCAAGCTACAAAAGTTATGAGAGACGTCGACATAGTGCAGAAATTCTAGCCGCGAGCACCATTAACCACAACATGCGTATAGCCTAATAAGCTCTCCAAATGCTTACAGGGCCGAATGAAGAAGCTTGCTTCGTTTCACTGCAGATTTAAGTCTGAAAAATTTTAACGCAAAAATTTTTCTTAGCCTAAATGCACATATCCTTTATGTAATAGGATAAAATCATTGCAAGGTGACGCCAATCCAAGAGGTTTTGCACAGAATATTACATAACTGCTTTGTTGTTCAAGTTTCAAATCGCCTTCAGCAATACAGCTTATCGAAAATACCACGAAAATGTGAGACTAAGCTCAGTATTTTCTCATAAATCTAAATTAAAATAATTTGCTTTCAACTTCCTGTTTCATCTGTAAAAAAAACTCACCCAAAACAGTGGAAACCAGGCCCAAAATAAACAATGCAATGCAAAGTTTCATCTCCATCTTTTCGTCTTCGCCACACACTGACACCTGATAATAAATATTCATCACTAGACCTCTCACGGATTTCCGTCATACGGTTACCAGGCAACCAAAACAAAATAAATAAGGGAACAAAAGAGGTACTCATTTTCTTAGAACACCTAAACCAATGAGTTACTTCAATAAACAAAGAGAAGGCTAAATTGATCAAAACAACTGAACGTAATGCTCTTAAATTAAGATTTCGCGAACGTTGGAGGAATTATTGACACGCAACTGCACATCACGTGAAAATACTTACATAGGGGGTAACCGCTATATTTATTGATACAGAAAAAGTAAATATTACGATTGGTTATATCATACGAAGAACCCTAGGGCGCTTCTGTTGAGAAGGAGATTAAGTGGGAGGAGAGGTTTTGTGAGTGTAGATAGACGCAAAAAGGGATTTTAGGGGTTTTAAGGAGGGGTAACAGACGAGTAGGGGAGAGTTTAATTCTGGTTCATTCGTCTGTTTTGTGTCTTATGTTAACATTCAATTCACCTCGCCTGATGCAATGCTACTGTAAACCATTAGAAGATGGTAAATTGACATATTTAATATTCTAAAAAAAAAAAAATTCTCTCCTTCACAGACACTTTTCAACAGAGCAAATATTTATGAATATAAATGAAATATTAACAAGATGTTAAGTCAGAGACAACATGGTATTTCTGACGAATGAGTCTGCGAAT